CCTAATACCCAAACCAGACAGAACATTACAGCAAAAAACACCATAGACCAGTATGTCTCATAAGCATAGATGCAAAATCATCAACAAAATATTTTCAAATCAAATTCTGTAGTGTATAAAAAGAATTGTTTGCTGTAAACAGATGGTATTTATCCCAAGTATTCAAGGCTGGTTCAACATTTGAAAATTAACATAATCTGTCACATTAGTAGGCTAAAGAAAAGTCATGTGTCATATCAATAGCTGTGGAGAAAACATTTGACAGAATCCAACACTGATTCATGGTAAACATTCTCAGTAAACTAAAAATAGGGGGGGGGGTCTTTTAAAACTTAATAAGGAACAGGTACAGAAGATGTACAGCTTTGCAAAGGGAGGATAAAAATTTTTTTAAATTAGGTCACACAACTCTAAATATACTTAAAAACATTAAATTGTAGGGGGTTTTTTTGTAGAGATTTTTTTTTGCCATAGGGCACATATGCTTATCTGAGAGACAGAGAGGCAGAAAGCAAGAAATAACCCCCCAGGGGGATGGTCATACCACAGTCCCTTCTTCATTTTCCTCTTGGGATTTTGGGCATGCATGCACGTGCCCTCAGCATGAGTTTTAAGCCGTCGGATCTGGGACTTGAACCGTGGTCAAGTACATGGGAGTCCAGTGACATAAACATTATGCCATCTGCTGGTCCATAAATTGTAGCTTACAGTTGATGAGTTGTGTAGTATGTAAATTTTGTCTCAAAGTTGTTAAACAACAACAAATAAAAAGGGTAAGGAGACATGACCCAAGACTTTACTCCACCTTAGTCAGTGTTAGAATATAACTGGAGGAACCAGCAGATAGTGTGATGGCTACGTCACTGGACTCCCATGTAGTCAACTGCAGTTTGAGTCCTGGACCCGGTGGCTTAAACTCATGCTGGGTGCGTGTGCTGTGTGCCCAAGATCCCAAGAGGAGAATGGAGAAGAAGGGATTGTCTCTCTGTCTCCGGCTTTCTAGCGAGCACACGCGCCCTAGAGCAAAAACTTATCAAAAAAAAAAAAAAAAAAAAGACAATAACTGGAAGATTAAATAAAGGCATTGCATAAATCTGCAACAAACAAAACTACAGCTAGCATCATACTTAATAGTTGGAATCTAGAAGTTAAAATTCCAGCTAAGATCAGGAACAAAGTAAAGATGTCACCTTTACAACTCCTTTTCAACATCTGGAAATCCTAGCTAGTACAGAAAAACAAGAAAATGAATGAAAAGTATGTTGATTGGGAAGGAAGAAAGAAAACTCACTTTTAGCTGACATGATTGCCTGTGTCAAAAAACAAACAAAATCAACCAAAAAATTTCTGGAACTAGTAAAAAATTATAGTAAGGTAATAGGATACAGGATGGCTATGCATGAATAAATCATGTTAATATATACAACAAGAGCATGCGGAATTTGAAATTAGAGGAGCAGTACCATTTACATTAATACCCCCCAAAGTGAATATTTAGGTGTAAATCTAACAAAGTATGTACAAAGTCTACATGAGGAAGACATCAATACTCTGATGAAAGAAATGAAATGATGGCTAAATAAAGATTTTCCCATGTTGATTCGTAGGAAGACTTAATATTATCAAGGTGTTGTTTCTTCCTAATTTGATACATAAATTCAGTGCAGGTCCATTAAGAATCCTGTTCAGTTATTTTGTGAATATCAAAAAACCTGATTCTCAAGTTTATATGCAGAGGCAAAAGATTCAGAATAACCAACTCAAAATTGAATGAAAAGAACAAAGTTGGAGGCCTGACACTGCCTGACTTCAACACTTACTATAAAACCGTAGTGTAAAGATGCTGTAGTAAGAGAGTGTTTCTGGTCAGCAGAACAGAATATAGAAAGTACAGAAATAGAGTTAACTGATGTTTGGCAAAAGAGCACAGTGAAGAAAAGATGGTCTTTTCAACAAAAGGTGGTGAATCAGCTACATCCACATGCAAAAATGTGACTCTAGATACAAATCTTTCATCCTATATTAACTCAAAATGAATTATAGGCATAAATTTAAAATGCAAAGTATGACTCCTGGATGATAGCAGGAGAAAATGTAGATGGTCTTGGAACTAGCAATAAGGTGTTTATTTTTATTTGCCAGAGGACACTTATACTCACCAGAGAAATGAAGGAAAGGGAAAATGAACCTCTTGGTGGGATGTGGTTATGCCAGCATCCCTTCTCCTGTATTCTCTATCCTCTTGGGATTTTGGACATGCATGTACATGCTTCTGGTGTGTTTTTTAGATGCTGCATCTGGAACTCAAACTGCATGATCAGCCGTGTGGGGGCTAGCTCCTTTTAACGACCAAAGCCATGGGGCTGACCCTATTTTTTGCATTATTTTATTCCAATTTTTTAATTAAAATTTTTTTAACCAACTTTGTTATTGCCAGAGGGCACGTTTGCCCACCAAAGAGATATATAGAGAGAAAGAGAGGCAGAGGGGAGAAAGCATTCCCCCATTAGGCATTGTCATGCAACAGTCCCTTCTCCATTTCTCCATCCTGTCGTGATTTGGGTACACATGCACATGTGCCCAGCATGCTTTGTGCCCAGCATGTTTTTTAAGTGTCTAGGGCCCAGATCCAAACCATGGTCACCTTAACTGCTATGTTGCCGGGCTGGCCCAGCAATGAGTTTTTAATCACAATGCTAGTGGTTCACACCATGATAGAAATAATTGACTGATTTGGACCAGCAGTTGGTATAATGTCTGTGTCGCTGGACTACCATGTAGTTGACCGCGGTTTGAGTCCCAGACCTGGTGGCTTAAACTCACACTGGGCGCGTGTGCTTGTGTGCCCAAGATCCTGAGAGGAGAATGGAGGAGAAGGGATTGTGGTGTGGCCATCCCCCCTGGGTGTGTGTGTGTGTGATTTCTCGCTTTCTGTCTCTGTCTCTCTGTCTTTCTGGCAGGTGCACGCACTCTGTAGCAAAAATCCTCTCCAAAAAATAAAACAAATAAATAAAATAAAAAAAGAAAGAATTGACCAACTTTATTAAAGTTAAAAACTGCTCTGTGAAAAATACTTGTCAAGAGAATGAAAAAGAAACCACAGACTGGGAGAAGATACTTGCAAAAGATGTATCTGATTAAGTACTGTTAGCTGAAATATGCAAAAGACTTAAAACTCTACAATAAAAGCCAATAGCTCAGTTAAAAAATGAGTTATGTTCCTTAATAGATACCTTAGTAGGAAGAACAAAGAAGATACACAGATGGCAGCTAATTGTCCTTTTATGATAGGGTAATGAAAAAGTTTTAACATTTTGTAAGAAATGTTGACATTTTTGAAGATTATAACTTTGTTAATACAATAATTAATAGCTATCATTGGACTCTATTATTAAAATTATACTGGGTAATAGGTTAGTAAAAGCATCTACCTCCTGAGATGTTACGAAGATAGAATTAATACATGTAAAGGACTTCAGAAAAAGTAAAATGCTTTCTAATTATTAGTTAATAATTGATGGTGGGGGGGGCCAGCAGATGGTGTGGTGGTTAAGGCTGTGGATTCCCACACGGTGATTGCAGTTCTAGTCTCAGACCTGGTGGCTTGCGTTCTCACTTTCTCTCTGGTGATCGCACATGGCTATAGTAACAAACTCAGCAGTGCTGAGACTGACTTTGTCTGTTACTCTGCATGATGGGCCTGTGATGGTCAGAATCCATCTGTAGGGAGCCTGACTGTTGGCCAGGGCACTTGTCCCATTGGGCCCTTGGAAAAGCCCCTGGAATTCCTCACTTAGGTACCTCTCAGCTTCCTCCCCAAAGCATCAGAATGACCAAGTATATTACAGTCAAATAATGAGGGTTTAAAGTGGGCCCTGCTTTCACTCCTGTGTGGGTCAGGGCAGGCTGTTTGACCTTTTGCCTCTTTCCGTGCCCATTTTATGTCAGGGACTGCCCTTCTTCCTCCCTCTTTGCACTCTGAGCAGCCATACTGGATTTTTACTTCCATAAAAATGCCATGTTCTCGGGAACCAGCAGTTAGCGTAACGGCTATGTCGCTGGACTCCCACTTAGTCGACCAGAGTTCGCGTCCCGGACCCAGTGGCTTAAAACTCACACCGGGCGCGTGTGCATGCGTGCCCAAGATCCCGAGAGGAGAATGGAGGAGAAGGGATTGCAGCGTGACCATCCCCCCTGGGGGGTGATTTCTCGCTTTCTATCTCTCTGTCTCTCTCTGTCTGTCTGGCGAGTGCACGTGCCCTACAGCGAAAATCTCTCCAAAAAAAAAAAAAACCATGTTCTCTCCTATGTGTGGTCCTGTGAAGTGCTGTTCTCTTTGAACAAAACATATATATTCTTTCTCTCCTTTCCCCGTTGATTTATTTGACTAGGTCATACCCATGCTTGCATTAAATGCCCCTTTTATTTATTTATTTTTTAAGAGGTTTTTGCAATAGGGCACGTGTACTCATCAGAATGACAGAGAGACAGAAAGCAAGAAATCACCCCCTGGGGTGATGGCCACACCGTAATCCCTTCTCCTTCATTCTCCTCTCGGGATCTTGGACACGCACACACACATGCCTGGCGTGAATTTAAGCCACCAGGTCTGGGACTTGAACCAGGGTCAACTATAGGGCAGTCCAGCGACGTAGCCATTACACCAACTATTGATCCCTAAATGCCCGTCTTTTAGGAGATCTTTCCTAACTAATTCCTGGCAGATTGGTTTGTATCTTGTCATGCTTTTCCTTCACAGCACCATGGTCCTTTCAAGCTTTCATCCAAGTTGCTCTGCAGACTGAGTTCCCAGAGGGGTTGATGGCATCTTAGGTGCTCATTGCCACATTCTTGGTTATTGGCACATAGAAAGCTCTCAGTAAATACTCTATACAAGGAAGGAAAAAAATCCTAGAGGTAATATTACTTAGAATTTGGTTAGCAGTATTTCAGCAACTGTCCTTGTTTTACAGGGTTTTTATTTATTTTTTCCTATATAGCTGCTGAAACAAGCTGATTCTGTCACATCGTAAGATGCCTTTGGAAATTCTGCAGTGCTGTTAAGCTGCATCTTTGGAACTGGGTAAGGTTCACTAGATACCCTCAGTCTTCACTTTGAACTCAGAAGCATTCTATTTTTTTGTTTCTTCAAAATATCATGGTACGGTAGGATTTATAGTCTCTTTGTTGGAGTATAGTACAAGGAATTATAAAAATATTTGGGCCATAATATGCTAATTCCTTGGTAGTTTTTACTTATCTTTGTAAAGTGTTTTCTTTTCAGCAGTTTGTAAAATTTTTCAAAGTTACTGCTTAAAAGCAAGAGTTATGACTTAATATCTTTTCTGAAATAAAATAAAATAATTTGCAAATTACTGAAAAGTAGAAGAAAAACTATTTCCTGTTAGATTTTAGCTTTAGATACAAAGCATCTGTTGACAAAGGTATAGAAGGGCCTGCAGCTCCCGTTTACAAATGGGTTTCCAGCAGGGGCCTCCATACTATCAAATTCATCCTGCTGACTTTGTGTGTGACCCATGAGAGTTAAGAGTGAGGTTGGCATTTGTAAGTGATTGAATAAAAGATTCATAGAATACTAATTTGTGATACATGAACGTTATAAGAAATTCACATGACAGTGTCCATGGATAAAGCTTTATTGGAACATAGCCATAACTTATTTCTCTATTTAAAATTTTTTTGTAGTTTTTTGCTACAAGGTGCATGTGCTTGCCAGAGAGAGGGACAGTGAGAAATCACCCCCCAGAGGGGATGTCCATACCATAGTCTCTTCTTTCATTCTCCTCAGGATTTTTAGCACATGTGCGCATGTACTTAGAGTGTTTACCGCATTTAATTTTAAATTTTAAGATTTTACTGTAGGGCATGTGTACTTGCCAGAGAGAGATGCAGAGAGACAGAGCAAGTGAGAAAGCATCTACCAGATGCTGCGCCACAATCTCTTTGCTTCTATTCTCCTCTCAGGATTTTTGTCACATGTGCACATGAACCTGGTGTGTGTTTTCAACCCACCAGGTCTGTGACTTGAACTGTGCAGTTGGCCTTGTGGGATCCAGCTACCTGAACCACTACAGCACCAATTGGCCTGCAACCGTTGTTTCTTAAGTATCGTGTGGGTCTTTTCTGAGCCAAAAATTGCAGGCAGGTAGTTGCCACAGAGATCTTTAGGGTCAGCAAGCAAAGATGCATATCATGCCCCTTTACCTCTAAATTTTTCATTGTTTACTTCCTTAGAACAAAAATATTTTCTTAAATAATAACTACAGTATAACTTACTGGAGGAAATTTAACAGTTTAGAAAATTTGTTCATGCATATATAATAAAAATGATGCAAAATGTTAACAATTGAATCTGAATAAAGGACATATAAGAGTTTTTTTTAAAACTATTTTTTACAAATTTTCTGTAAATTTTAAATATTTACAAGTAAAAAAGAAGCATCTTTAGTAGCTATACAAAATATCTGGAAATCAGGTCAGTTACTATTACTTAGAAATTAACATTTATTTTATAGCATTTATTTATTTTAGCATTAAAGGCCATCAGGTGGTATGGTGGTTAAAGGCACTGGACTTCCACTTGACCAACTGTGGTTCAAGTTCTGGACCTAGTGGCTTGCTTTCTTACTTTCCCTCTCTCTTTTTCTCTGTCTCTTGCTGATCAAACTGGAAAATAATAATAAATAAAGTTAAATAAAATCATTCTTTGGGGCCAGCAGATGGTGTGGCAGTTAAGGGCACTGAACTCCCACATAGCTGACCATGGTTCGAGTCCTGGACCTGGAGGCTCGCTTTCTCACTTTCTCTCTCTGTCTCTTGTGGGCACACGTGCCCTGTAGCAAATTAATAATAATAATAATAAACGAAAATTTTCTGATATGTGAATATTGGGTAGGTTTAGCTTCGTGTTAGACTTTCTGTTGCTTGCATGATGTGGGAAGGATCAACATCCCAAGATATTTCTTAAGTAATTGTACTGAGAAAGGAAGTAAATATGACTTAAAGTACTCAATTAAGAGGCAGACTGATTGATGTAGGAACTTAACTTTACTAGACTCTCTATTCCACTGACAAAACAATTTTTTTTTTTTTAAATCAAGGGACTGATAAAGTATCGCTAACCTTTTTTTTTTCTTTTTTTAAAATTGGATTATAACGTGCATATTATAAAGCGCCTAAATCCTGAGTGTCATTTGATGAACTTTTATGAAGCCAGCACTCATTTAACCAATACCAAGAGCACAAGATATAGGATCTTTCCATCAACTCTGGAGCCTCCTTCATGCCCTCTGATAATTATTATACACTCCCAAAGGTAAATACTATTCTGATCTCTTTAACCGTTGATTACTATTATCTGTTGAATTCTGTGTTTAGCATTTTTTTAAATCTTGTTTATGAGTCATCTATGTTGTCTGGTTCATTTTTTTTTTCTTCCCCATTCCTGTGAAATACTTCATTGTATAGTTATACCACAGCTTATTCATTCTACTGTTGATGTACATTTGGGTTCTTTCCAGTTGGGGCTCTTAGGAATAATACTGTTTTGAACATTCTTGAGCATATCTTTGTTTCACAAATGTATAGATTTCAGTCAAGTAAATACCTAAGGGTGAAATTGCTGGGTCATAGGATATTTGCTTGTTGTCTTTAATAGATTCTTCTAGTTTTCTAAAGTGGTTGAATCAGTTTATCAAATTATTCTCTTTTTTTCCGGAGAGGTTTTTGCTGGAGGGCCTATGCACTCGCCACAAAGACAGAGGCAGAGAGACAGAAAGTGAGACATCACCCCCTGGTGGGGGTGGCCACACTGCAATTTTTTCTCCTCCGTTATCCTCTCGGGATCTTGGGTACGCACACACACATGCCCGGCGTGAGTTTAAGCCATCAGGTCAAGGACTTGAACTGCAGTCGACCACATAGGAGTCCAATGACATAGCCATTACGCCAGCTGCTGGTCCCTCAAATTACTCTTTTATGATTAGTGTGTTTTGCGTTTTGTTTAAGAAATCTTTGCTTGCCCCAAGCCCAAGAAGATACTCTCCTGTGTTTTCATGTATAGCTATTAACTGTTACATTTATGTTTATGTATGATGTATGATAGGATTCATGGTTTATTTTTCTTTTTTGTGTGGAAATTCAGCTGTTGCAGTACTGCACAGTATTCACAACTTATAGGTATATTGGATTATATACAGATGAAATGATAATAGTGTTTGGAATTAGCTCCTAATAATCCAAAGGAGTGAAGAGGAAAGGGAAGAGGAAGGTCAGATAGGTGAAGCAAAATTAACTATGAGTTGATAATTGTTGAAACTGGGTGATGGATATATGAGATTAATCATATTCTACTTTGTGTTTGAAATTTCCCATAAAATAGATTTTTTAAAGTGTCGTAATTAACTGTATATCAAAATACACAAATACATAAGAATGTAAGAATTCATAATAATTCTTTTGTAGAAGCCCACGTAGGCACCAATTCATTATTCTAAAAATAATTAGTAAAGGAAAGGAAAACATCAACCATTTTTTCATCTTATCTGTACAGATTATATTCTAGGGTTACAAAATAGTTAAGAGGGAAAGTTTATTTTTAGGAGAATCAAGTTATTAGAAACATTGGAGAATGATAGACTTAGAAACTGATCAAGTAAAACTCCTGATGGAAAAGTAATCTAGATAATGATCATCCAATTACTACTAAAATTTTTATGTGAAAATTTGTTTGGAAATGGATAAATAGTGGTAGGCTAAACTGGAGTTAACCTAGCATCTCTAATTAGTACTAAAAACTCGCAATAGAACACAAAAGACAACTATCTGAAGACTGAAAAGTAAACCATTGCAGACAAATCGAGAAGAGAAATTAAAATATGGAGAAGATAACTTGTTATAGGGGTGAAAAACTTACCATTTTTCTTCTTTCTGTGACCCAGCTTTAACCGAACAGTGGGTTGGAGAACCACACATTGGGTACCACAGTTAGTAAAAGCTCAGAGAGAGAAACTAGCCAATGGACAAGGAAGACGTCCCTCTCCTTTTTTCTCTTTTTTTCTTTTTCCTTTTCAAGCTAAATCCTGAGAGCGCTTTGCTTGTAAAGTCCCATTGTCATGTCAGTATAAGCATTTAGAACCCCAAGGGGAAACCATAGAGGAACTGGGGAAGAGGCCCCTGGAAGCATATTCTGGAAATCCCAGGGAGAATTCATGTGGGAGGAGATTCTCTGATTGTATCTATTGGCCTGTAGAGGTCTCACCTTATCAGAGAATTGTATATATACAGAATAGACCCAAAGCAGCATAGTAAACACTGGGAGAACTCACCGATAGGCAAAGGCATTGTCAGATTCCAAACTTGTCTATGGTGGTACAACCAGAGGAGAACCCAAATAACATCATAAAGGCTTTGAAAACCAAACCACCTCACACAGGAGGCAAGACAGAATTTGCTATCTAAGTTTAAATTTAAAAAATACCAAATTCTTCACAGCATGCCAGTAGAACCTACAGTCTCATAAACTAATATTCAGAATGTCTAGAGTATAATCCAGAATTATTGACATACAGGAAAATATTTTAAAAGAAGTATTTATTCAACTTTGTTATGAGTAGTAGTAGGAGGAGGAGGAGTGAGTGAGTGAGTGAGTGAGAAAGTAAGTCGCCAGGTCCAGAACTCGAACTATAGTCAGCCATGCGGGAGTCCAGCACCTTCACCACACGCCACCTACTGGCACCCAGGAAAATGTCTTTAAAGGAAAAGATAATAAACAGATTATCTAGTTGATGAAATCATCAGGAAAAGATCTTAAAGTGGCTCATGCTCATGAAGTAAAAGTAAACTCTTGAATGAAAGATAGTTGTTTTTTTTTTTAAAGGAACTATATGAAAGGATCAGGTGGAAATTTCAGAATTCAAAAGCAAAATATTTGAAACACAAATTACTGTATAGGCTCCATAATAGAAGGATGACAAAGGAAAGAGTCAGTGAACTTGAAGACAAATCAGTAGAAATCTCATTAAGTCTTGCATCTTCTATATCAAGGGCATGTGTGTTCTGTAATGCGTGTTAAGTCCATCTTGCACTCCATGAACCCTGGTCACAGACCTTCTTGGTAGTGAGTAAATGTGCTGTCTACACATTCTCATTTAGCCCGTAACGATTCTTGTATATGTGCTGCAAAGATTTGTGTGTGCCATTTTAGCTCCATCTCCAGATTCAGATAGTCTTTCCCTGCCATCTTCCCAGATCTTGTCATTTTGGGGTAAAGGTCAAGCTGAAAGTCAGTGGGTTAAAATAAGCTAAAAGACTGACTATACTCGTATATTTTTTATTTGAAAGCTTTGAAAGTAAATGAAGAAAGATAAGTGGAAATGGTATGTTGTAAAATATTAATAGTCGGGACCAGCAGTTGGCCTAATGGCTATGTCACTGGACTCCCATGTAGTCAGCCGTGTTTCCAGTCCCAGACCCAGTGGCTTAAACTCACGCCAGGTGCGTGTGCGATATATATATATATATATATATATATATATATATATATATATATATTCCTGTGTGTGTATATATATATATATATATATCTGTCTGTCTATCTATCTATCTATCTATCTATCTATCTATATCTTAATAGGAGTAAACTTTATCTTCAATATAAACTTGTAACAGTGATTATTTTAATGAATGAGAAAGAAACACTTTATTTATTTATTTTTGGAGAGATTTTTGCAAAAATCTTGCCAGAGAAAGACACAGAGACAGAAAGTTAGAAGTGATTTAATCCCAGGGAGCGGAGGGGAGGATGGCCACGCCTCAATCTCCATTCTCCTCTATGGATTTTGGGTATGCAGACACAACACACATGTGCCTGCTGTGAGTTTCAAGCACTGGGTCTGGTACTTGAACCGCTTATGATCATGTGGGAGTCCAGTGCCTTAACCACCACGCCACCTGCTGGCCCAAAGAAATGCTTTATTTAAGGTAGTTTTTTTTCCCGAGAAATCTGTTCAGGATGCATCTACACACTTGAAAGCGAAGTCAAATGGTTGAGAACTTGCTTGGCCTACTTAGTTGCACAGAAGCAATCTGGTAGTTTACCATTTTAATAAGTTGAAACAGTTGTCTTTTATAAAATGATTACACTGCAAAAAGAGGAATACTTACAGCCTTGAAAACAGATATATTTTTGGTGTCATTTTAAGTGGCTTTCATGGCCTCATTAATGAACATATAATATGTCAAAATATTTTCATATTTATACATACTAGTTATTAAATATCTCATGAACTAGCTCTAAGCCTGGTACTTTATAAACATACTTGACAATCACATTTCCTAACAGGTCCCTGGGTGATTTATAGCACTAAGGAAATTCTGTACAGTTATTTGAATGATATATTAACTTATTTCTGTCTTTTTTTCTGGAGACCTGGTCCAGAAATTTACATATATTTGGCTTTTTAAAATAATAAGACTAATCCACTGGGGCTAGTAGTTGAGTCCCACATGGTCAGCTATGTAGTTCAAGTCCTGGACCTGGTGGCTTGAAATCACCAAGCTGGAAAACACCAGTTGCATATGCATGCATACCCATAATCCTAAACAGAGACTGGAGAAGGGACGTGGTGTGGGTGTGGCTATCACCCCTGGAGAGGATTTCTCACTCCCCTTCTCTGGCAATCATTGCGCTACAGCAAAAGACTAAATAATATTAGTAGGACTGTTCCACAGAATTTTAGACTTAATTCATTTTGTTTGGACATCTGTTTGACACTTATAAATTGTATCACTTTTAAATACAGGAAGGGAATTAAGGGGAAAAAGAAAACATTTAAGAGTCAAAAAATGGAAAATTAACTGTTGATACACATGCTAGGAAAATTCATTTTATATGCTGTAATGATGTACAGAAATTGAATGTATAAATGTGTGTGTGTGTGTGTTTGTGTGTGTGTGTGTGTGTAAATACAGTGAAGCAATTAACCAGTTTTCCAAAATGGAAACTATGTTCTCATATTCATTTAGACATTGATCTAACAGATTTTGCCATTCTGAGGAACTCCGGAGTGCCTCGTTGCCCCACTAAAGCAAACCATTACTACCATGTAGGAATAAAGCTAGACCTCAGTGTCACATTTGAATTTATTATGCAGCCTGAATTGTCACGTATGTTATTTTCAATCCCTTGAAGAAATATGAAAGGAAAAGATAGTTCCGAATTTAAGAATTTACAACATGGTAGTGTAATTTTTTTGATATCTTAACGAGTCAAATTATCCTTTGAAGCTTCGCCTTCCTCCTTTTCCCCCAGGATTT